AGGAAACAATCAGTCAATGTTTTCTCTGTAAAGGCCCTGTTTCAGATGAAAGAGTCTAAAAAACCTTTGTATAATCAAAAGGCAAGAAAGCTCAGCACATACTCTTCACTTCTCATGCAACAATGTGACATGAAATAATGTATTGTATTGTTGCTAAAATAAATTAATAAATAAATAAATTCCTATGAACTAAACACACTAGTTTATCACCATTTTTAGAAAGCTACACAGACACACAGTTTTACATGATGGTCAAATTAAATAAGTGATTCTTGGATAATAATGTTCAACACTATTTATCTGATTAAAATGCTTTTATTTTAACAGATGTTTTTCCCTAAAATACACCTCTGGAGCAATGACCGTTGCTGCCTAACTGGGATAAAAAAAAGCAGTGCAGGTGAGAGTTTAAATGCACGTGAAATATTTGCACTATTGGGACTGGAATCAAACTCAAGGTTGTGCAATTCACTTTCAGTTGGCTGTAACAGGTTGTTTCACTCAGCCACTGAACATTGCCCTCTCACCCCTTTTGTGGAAAATTACTGAATCTGATCTGGCTGTGGAAAGTTCTAGATTCTCTCCATTTCAGTTATATGGGGCTGCTTATTGATTTGTTTAAAAAAAAAAGCTTTTTTCCGGGTAATGTGGGTCTGCACAGAAGGACAAAGGAGTGACTAGAGTTTCATTCCTACAGGGAAATCTAGAGATGTGTGAGAAGCAGCAGCAGTGATGATGACAGTGTTTCAGTGGTGAAGTACTAACGCAGGCAAAGCAATGGATTACAGGTTAAACAGGCTGCCCGATTCCAAAGGGTGCGTTCATGGATGAATCATGAGACAATAAACCCCTGGCCCCCCCACTCCTCCTACATAGCACTCCAGACTGAAAGAGACCCAAAGTGACAATAAACAACACACCAGCAACCATTTTATTTTATTTATTTTATATTTATTTGTCTATTCATTTTGTGTCTCTTTGTTTAGCCTCAGTTTGACGTTGATTTGAGCATCTTAGTAGTTGTTTTGAGTCTTAGTAGTCATTTTGCATCTCTGGTAATTTCTGCACCTTTACTGTATGCATTAGGTTTACATGTCTTTGCAGTATTTTTGTGACTCTGCAGTTGTTATGCATTTCATTCCCTGCATTTGGTTGCAGTCATTCTGTGTGTCTGTTGTATTTTTGTGACTTATGCTTGTGTGTGGTAATTTTGTGTTTCTTTTCAATGACTACATGTCTACTTGTTGTTAGCTTACATGTCTTTGTAGTAGTGTGCCTTCTTTAAGTTATCGGATTGACTTTCCAACAAGAAATGTTAACAGTCCCTACAAGCAGAGGTTCTGGCCCAGGTGCCCCTAAACCTGTGGACCTTACAGACAGTGGCTGGAAGAAATCAGCATTGTTTCTTGTATGGATTTACTGATTTTGTTGATTTTCTTTGGCTCAAGACACAAGGCAGTGGAAAGTTAAACCTGAAAGTTCAGAGTAACAACATGAGCCTGAGAGAGTATAAGAGTACCCCCTTCTGTCATCCTAGGTATGAAGGGACTGATTTATGACCCTGCCTCTCCATCACCCCCAACTAGTTTTTTGGACTTTATTGTTTTATAATGTGCAGGTGTCTACAATAAAAACCACAGCTGGCAGCAATAAAAGTAGTTGGGAATGGAACAAAGGGTCAAGCTAGGATTTCATACATCAAAGAATTGTTGTTACTGTAAAAAGAAATCATGTAACTTCAGTCTACACTCATGTGAGTGTGGCATTTAAATTGACCCACCACACAGATGAAATCTCATACAGTTTCCGGTGTTTGGTTGAGAGGAGGGCTTTGACCCACATGAGGGAGAGACCAGGGCCTCACACACACAGCTTGTCCCTTCAGGGCTCTGCCTTTTCTGCCCCTCGTCAGTGTGTCTTGGCTATGTGGAGCAAGAGGCTTTAAGTGCTTATGTTGCAGCGGGCACCATGTTTGTGTAACTAGGAACAAAAGGTGAGTTTTTACATTAATATTTCTTCCTATAATGGGGTGACAAACGGGCTATAGATGGGTTTTCAATAAATAATATTTAGATTGTTTTCTCATCATTTATCTACAGGTGAATAGCATTAAAAATCAAAAGTGACTGGCTTCAGTGAAGCTGGTTCTTAAAATAAGTAGGGGTGACTGAAAAAAATAAGGTATTTCTAGTTCATAAAAATGGATTTAACAAGATTGCTAAACACGGTGATTTTCTTCCTAGCAGAATGTCAGGCGCTGGTGAATACCTTTAAAAACAACTTTGTGAGATGTGTGCTTAACTGATTAAAGTAAGATTCTCTCCACAAAATGATTTACTCAATACAGTAAAACCACAGCTATACATTACCAAAGACACAGGCTGGCAGAGAAATGGCCAGCCACCTCTGGAGTACAGGACACAGTGGTTTTAAGAGAAGAAACCTCTAAGAGTCAGACTGACAAACTTGGTACTCAACTTAGATCCTAGTATTAATGGGCCTTGACATAAAAATAGAAAAACAATTAACTGATCCTATATTCACTTACCTATATACAGGTGCAGCTCAATAAATTAGAATATTGTGGAAAAGTCCATTTAGTTCAGTGATTCAACTCAAATAATGAAACTCATGTATTATATACATTCAGTACACACAGACTGAAGTAGTTTAAGCTGTTGGGTCTTTTAATTGTGATGATTTTGGCCCACATTTAACAAAAACCCACCAATTCACTATCTCAATAAATTAGAATACCTCATAAGACCTATAAAAA